CTGGCATCGCACTCAATGAAAACAGTTCTGGAGTTAGTACAGTTTCCTTTAACTGTTGTTTAACATGTGATGGTTTCTCTTTCATCAGATCTTCCACCTGGCTGAGACGCTCATTTACCTGCTGAAATCCTATTATTATCATTTGCATGGTAACCTGCCATTCTTTATCTGGCAAAATCCCCAACAGTAGATATTTAAATTTTTCAGAGGCCATTTCAATCTTTCCAGTGCATATGGTTTGTATAAATAATACTTTTTAGTTTCCACGATTTTATCAACAGACCAAACCCATCATCATGCACCTCCCCTGAGTATGCCCTCCCCTCAATTATAATATATAGCTCAACTGTTAGCCCAACAATTTGAATTACAACCGTGACAATATTATCAGAGTCCACACAGTCCAGCCAAGAAAAAGTCCAGACTAAACAGCAGACACAGGAAGTCAGTCTCTCCAATACATATTGTTATAATCCGTCAAAACTCCAGTCCTGGTTTTCCTAGCTCCACAGTCTATTCAGTTACGTTCGTTCATCTCGCTGTTGATTCACTGTCCATTTTCTTGCTTCCAAAGGTTTATTCCTCCTTCTAAGACGCAGCAGAATTCTCTTATCAAACTCCCATTGGTCAAACTCCACTCCTGGTTTCCCCAGCTCTTCAATCTAGCCAATTATGTCATCACAGTGATGGTTCATAGTCTGTTTTCTTACTTCCTAAAGCTTATTCTTCTCCGAAAGCAAGATTTTATTATCAGAGTCCCACACAGTCTCTGCTTTTTAAGATGCTGACTAGGTTTGTCATCGCTTTCCTCCCAAGAAGCAGGTGTCTTTTAATTTCGTGGCTGCTGTCACCATCTGCAGTGATCATGGAGCCCAAGAAAGTAAAATCTGTCACTGCCTCCGTATCTTCCCCTTCTGTTTTCCAGGAGGTGATGGGACCACTGGCCATGATCATGGTTTTTTTGATGTTGAGCTTCAGACCATTTTTTACCCTCTCCTCTTTCACCCTCATTAAGAGGTTCTTTAATTCCTCCTCACTTTCTGCCACCAGGGTGGTATCGTCTGCATATCTAAGGTTGTTGATATTTCTTCCGGTAATCTTAATTCCAGTTTGGGATTCCTCCAGTCCAGCCTTTGGAACAATGTATTCTGCATCTAAGTTAAATAAGCAGGGAGACAATATACAACCTTTTCGTACTCCTTTCCGAATTTTGAACCAATCAGTTATTCCATATCCAGTTCTAACTGTTGCTTCCTGTCCCACTTATAGATTTCTCAGGAGATAAAGTGGTCAGGAACTCCCATTTCTTTAAGGACTCGCCATAATTTGCTTTGGTCCACACAGTCAAAGGCTTTTGCGTAGTCAATGAAGCAG